CGGGTGATGGGGCTTCTAGACCCAGTGCTGTGGTAGCCATAAAGCTCTTAAAAATTCTGCTAGCAAGAGAGCATTATTTTATTTTACATTTTTAGCTGGAGTCTCACTCTGTCATCCAGGCTGGAGTGCAGTGACACACCCATGGCCACTGCAATCTCCATCTGCTGGGTTCAGGTGATCCTTCTGCCTCAGCCTCTCGAGTAGCAGGGACTACAGGCACATGCTACCATGGCTGGCTAATTTTTTGATTTATCGTAGACACGAGGGCTTGCCAAGTTGCCGGGGCTGGTCTCGAACCCCTGGGCTCAGGCATTTCTCTTGCTTTGGGCTTCCAAAGTGCTGGGATTCCGGGTATGAGTCACCATACCCAGCTAAGACAGCATAATTTTAACAGATGGCTTTCAAAAGCTCTTTTCCCTTGAAGAATCCTAATTATGGTCCCAACCAACACAGGTTCATTGAAGAGCATTAGAGATGTCTGGCTTTCAAGGGAAAAGGCTAACTTCTTTTTAGGACATTACTTCACAGCATTTCCCACTTCACAATCTCAGTACCAGACCAACCTCAGGCTTCTGTTCCAGGAGGAATTTGGTCCACTGCTTTTGCCTTAATAAGATTTTGCAGCAGAATCAGTCAAATGGCCTTCCGATTTCAGGAATGCATCATTATGAGAAACCATGTTATTTAAATTTCCAGAAATGACTCTTCGGATGAGTATCCACAGCTCATCAGAATGAACTTGGTTTCCTTCTGCATAAAAGGTCTTTCATTTTCATATATTTAATATTTAACGCTTCTTTTTGGAGACACTGGGTTTTGATAGCAACTTCTAAAGACCAAGATAAGAGGTAAAAAAGTTACTGCAATGGTTTAGAAATGGATTTTCTGAAGGCTGATTAGAGGAGGAGAATTCCAGCTGGAAAACTTTTTGATAATGTCAACAGCCTCTGTGTGTCCCTGAGGAGTTCATGAGACGATGCAGGTGGGGGCACCTAGCGTTGTACCTGGCACAGGGCAGGCAGGCAAAATGTCAGGTAGGTCTGAAGCTGAATCTAGTTAACAAGTCCTCAACTGTCAAGGAATCAGACATCCTTTTATTCCAACAGTTGTGACACAACCAAGCTGTTGAAGCAGAGATGACACAGGCATTCAATCGAATGTCAGGCAATGTGAGCCAAAGGTCCTTACTGTCCAAGTGGGAAGTGTCAGCTGGGTTGATAAAAGCTTGGTGCAATCCCATTGAGTTTGCTTAGTGAGTGACGTCATTGAGATGATCAGTAGTAGACAGAGCTTTCTGAATGCAGTTCTCAACCTGACTGCATGCTCGAGCTTAAAACAAACAGTGCTGCCTGGGTCATCCGTGGGTGTTCTGATGTGAGGTGTCTGGGTGGCGCCTGGTCATGCATGGGTTTTCGAAATGCTTCTCAGATGCTTCTAATGTGCCACCAGGGGTGAGAGTCAGCTACTTGTTTATCTAACCATCTCCAGTATTGTCATATTTATGATCTAGAAGCTACATCTAAAAGGTCTGTAGCAAACACTGTAGCTAGACCACCCAATGGCCACTCCTGTTTCCTTTCTGATAGAACTTTGGTTTTGTTCTCTCCTCTTCTAGGGGCCCAGAAACTATTAGGAGAGGCCTCACATCAGGCCCAGGCTGCCTCATCCGTGGGTCAAACTGGGATTCTCAGCCTTGGTACTATGGACACTTGGTGCTGGGCCGTTCTTTGTGGCGAGGGCTGTCCTGTGCACTGGAGGATGTTTAAGCAGCACCTCTGGCCTCAACCTCAGATGCCAGTAGCACTCCCAACCTGAGTTGTGACAACCGAAAGAGAACTATGGGGCTCAGCCCTTCACACAGGTGTTGACTTGCCTGAGCTAGCAGCCCTCAGGACTTCCTGCCATGTGAAGTAGCACGTCCTGTTATCTGAAAGCTGGGGCTTCTGCTGTGGCAGCCAAATGCTTCCAAATGACTGGGTCCCAAATCCAGACTATTCTCAATCATTGGGAAGTGATACCATTCCTTTTTGGAAGGTGGACATTTGCTAGACCACTATGAATAATTGATCAAAACCTGTGTCCACACGGCAGGACACTATAAATACACAGCCAAGATGGTGGCCACCAAGCAGGGCAGCATCTACGCCACGTGCATCTAGTGTATGTACGTGGTATAGACACACACTTTGGTGACAATGGAGACTGCTCAGAGAGAAAGCAACACATGTCATCGGCAGTCTGGGACCTGCAGAGGCAGATGCTGAATAGCCTCCAGATAGAAATCCAACCCTGGGCAGGTGTCCAGGGGCCTCCAGACACCTTAGAGCCTCAGGTTGATGGCAAGCCTTTGGGATTCTTTTTGTTGTTGTTTAAACAGGCATCCTGTCTTGTAGAAACAAAATTCTTTCCTGTTTCTAGAGTGACTTGTGGGGTTGACAAGTGTAATGTTCCACCCAATTTGTCTTGTTTTGTTTTTGGGCAGTGACTCACCCTCTCCCTGCTTCATTTTCATTCATTGAAAAGGAGTTATAAAGTGGCTGTAACTAAAATTTGATTTTAAATTAAAAATATTTTAAAACCTTTAAATTGGACACAATGTTAGTGTGAGACTAAGATTGCAGGTGGTGGCTGCAGAAGAACACGTTAAGACTTGTGTGTTCATGGTTTTTTTAAAAAAACGAAGTGACCTTGTAAGATGGAAAGCCAATGGCTCATGAATTCCCCCCAGGGTGGGTCTCAGGCAATCTCTAGAGGGCCGTGATAAGTGTCCACAAAGAACGTGCTCCTGAAAACCGCCCATTCCAGGTGGTGCTCAAGGCATGCGTTGGAGGAACTGAACTTGTTTCTGTAGTTTTCTCAGAGTAATTGATTGAGGAGAAAAAAGACACAAGCCCAGGAACACACTCTACCAGCCCTTATAGTTGAGATTTCGGCTACAAATTCCTATCAGTGTGTTTATGTTTTCATCTTATGTAATATTTGAGACTGCTGAATCAGCCTCTGGAACTACATTTCTCAACCCTCCCATAGTGGGGTAGACGACTTCTACACAGCCTGGATTTGAAGACCTGGAGTGCTCAGCTCACAGGAAGGGGCAGAGCCATCCTGGCTATGGGTTGATTCCAGGGTCACTGTCTCCAGTTGTGAGACTTTGGGCACCTGACTCCAACCTTGGGTTCTTTCTCTTTAAAATGGGCCTGATCAGTCGGGCAAGGTGGCTCAAGCCTGTAATCTCAGCACTTTGGGAGGCTGAGGCAAGAGGATGGCCTGAGCCCGCGGGTTAGAAATCAGCCTGGGCAACATGGTCTCTACAATAAATCAAAAAATTAGCTGGGCATGGTAGAGCGCGTCTGTACTTCCGGCTACTTGGAAGGCTGAGGGGAAAGGATCCCTGGAGCCCAGCAGGTCGATACTGGGGTGGCTGTGAGCGTCCCACTGCACTCCAGCCTGGGCAATCGAGTGAGACTCCAACTCAAAAAAATAAAAAAATGAATGGGCCTGATAATATAAGAAACAGACTCGGTATTGTCATGAGGACGAGGTCAAAGAGTGCAAACAAAATGCTTAGCACAATAAATGCTTTCAGTGGGTGCGAGCTAGGAGTCATCATTAACCGTTCTCAGCTAACTTTCTGGGTTAGATACAACACGTTGCGCAAATTCTCCCATTTTAATAGAATTGAAACACGTAATCTACAGAATACAAAAGAGGAATATCATCTCTAATTAGAAGCCTTCAACTTACAAGATGTTTAAAAGTTCACTTTTAAGTTGCTGTTGGGAGGACTCTGTTCCCACAGCAACACTCTAAAGAGGGTTCCACTCCCAGGACTCACAAAGGCATATTAACTTTCAGTTACCTGAGATACTGTGCTTGTCCTGATAGGGTCAAACGATGAGTGCTTTACTAGCAATGAAACAAAGCAGGAAAACAAGACTGATAGAAAATAAGGTGAAATATTTAAAAATCCTGTAGCTAGAAGGAAAGCACAATTAACTCGGGGCCAAATGAGGAAGCTAATGGGGCCTCTGGGTTGGGGAGACACAGCACCCATCAAACACAAGGATGTTACCCTCGGGGCCAGACCTCCGTTATGAACCAGTCTCCTAGCCCTCAACATAATCTTCATAAATGAACAGGATAGGACAGTAAGAGAAGTAGGACTCCCCCACAGTGTGCTGGAATTAGGGATGGGCCATGTGGACACAGACGTAGGCTGTCGGTAAAGGCTGCCATGAGGTGGGCTTTGTTGAGCAGAGGCTGCAGAAGAGGGTGTGCATCATCCTGGTGAAGCTGCTGGAGGGAAGGCAGCTGTTTCTGGGGTTAACCCAGATGGTGGCAAAGGTGAGACTGACTAGCAGGTGGTGGCGGGAGCAACTGCTGTCTGTATGCTTAGGTCTTCTGGCTTGGCAGTTCTTGCTATGCAGGAGCAGCTGCGAGGGCAGGGACACTGTCCTCTCCTGTGAAGGCCCCACCAGGTCATAACACCGACCTCATGCAAGGCTCAGGCTCTGCGTCCTTGACAACATACGTGTTCACAAATGGAACCCAAAGCGATTTAACTGGGACCTTCCCTTGTCTATTTCAAAGGACACTAGTTCAGTGGAATGTTAATCAGGTGTTAGGTATGAGCAAATCAAGTCACTTGGAAGCCAGCAGGTCACAGGTGGAATGTGTTCTCTCTGCTCTAGGCTCTCCGGGTGCTAATATGCACTGTGAATTTTCATGAGGTACAGGCAGGTTTCTAAACCCAAGTGACTTGAAACCTGGAGTTTCTCCAGGGCTAAGTGATGAGGGGAGCATACTTGGAAAAGTCTCCTTAACACGAGTCTTGTAAACTCTGCCCCTCAGGGCTCTCCCTCCCAATCAACCTGTCCCCACCCCCCTCACTGGGTTATTTGCACTTAATCCTTCAGGTTTTAGTTGATCCTCCTCTGGGGTATAAGCATTTTAATCTGAAAACTTGGGAAGTCAAACACATTTTAGATACAAAAGCAGCATCATAGCAGGATTTCAGGCACCTTTATTCAGGCAGATATTCTGGCCAGGTGAGCCTGCCTCTGAAAGCTTTCCATACTCAAGGAGGCCGATCTGGCCCAGTCCAGACTTTCCCACTGCAGCAATGAGCCGTATCATTTCCATTTGCCATTTCCGAGGCTGGAAGACATCCTGCCCGTAGCTTCAGCAGGTCTGCTCACAGCTCAGCGTGTGGCCAAAGGCTAAACCCTGCAGCACAACCCACTGGCCCACCAAAGGAGGTCCCGATCCATCGTACGACAAAGAACGCGACACCTATGTGTTCCCCAAATCATGTAGAAATAGGACAAATTGCTTAATATCATTATAAATTTTCAACAGTCAAGGCTGGTGACATGGGGTATAACAACAAAAAAAATCATACTTTTCCAATTTTTCAAGTTTTTGTTGCATAAAATCACTCTGTGGTAACAACCAGAAGCTTGCCTAGCAGGCCATCTATTTTTGGCCTCTGGGCTTGGCCACTCCTGACACTGCATTTCCAAGTGGCAAGAGTAGAGCTGTATCCCTGCCTTCTATAATCAATGAAATTGTTACTCTGCAAGAATAGTTTAAGTAAAATAATATTTCTTAAAAACCTGAGCCTACAAGTCCCTTACCACATTCCAGCCAAGCCACCTGCATGGACATAACACAGTCTCTTTTCCTTCTCTGTCAATCAGTAGCTCGAAGAAAAGATGGAGTAACTGAGTTTTGAAATCCTGCCAGACTTTTCATGGTAACCATTGTAGATGAGCAGAGGAGGGTCCTACTGAAGTATGAGAATCTCATGCAAAACTCTAACAAACGAACGCCTTGTTACATCAGGCCGTTCTCTTATTTTCTGTATGTGAACATTCTAACACAAGAAAGTGGCAGTGATTACTTTTCACTGACTTCAGCATCTGATCTCAGAAACTCAGACATATGTCAAAGTTCAATTCTGAGTTTTGGCAACAGATATTTCTGAATAAACAATGTTTGGATGTTTTTAGCCACGTGAAAAGTATTGCCAACACTCTGTTGGTGTTAGCTCAACAGTCACTCTGTGCTGAGGATTAAAGAACCCTAAACTCTACAGGTCTTAAAGACGAGGTCTTACTTCCCCTCGTTTAACTATAATAGAAGGATTTACTATTCGTCTAATAAAAAATCACACAGCAACTTTTATCAAACAGCAACTACTACAAAAGGAATGGCAAGGAAAAAATATGACTTCACAAAAATACACTAAAAAATTTGACAATTTTTTTCAGGAACTGCCAAAATTTTAGTGTTTAATAATTAACAGTACAACTGACCAAGGTCCAGGATGTGAAGCTACTATGTTCAAGAAACTGGGGGTCAATCACTCTATAAACTAACTGTATTGTATGTGAAAAGAATGCACACTTTAGAATAGAAAATCTGTCTACACATAGTAGTTAGCTGCAAAAAGCCATTCGGTCTTCTTTTGGCTTGGAAAAATGATGTTCCAGATTTCAGTATAAATTAGTAGCAACCTGTTGAAGAAGGAAAAACCATCACCATGCTTTCATTACATGAATGCAAATAAAAATGACACATATAACTAACAATCCTTCTAGAATCCTCTATTTAGACTTATTTGCTTTGCACAATGTTCTAGCAAAAACAGACTTAACTGGAAATATTTTAAAACATTTCGGAATCTGTTTCCCACTCCTAGTCTTCAACCCTGCAGTTCTTGAGAGGATATGCTCATTTAATGGTTAGGATTTCTGACTACCACATGCTATAAAAAGAGGCCCACAGAAACTTCTAAGTCTGGCAGGACATTTTTCAAATTGGACAGAAGATGACACAACTTATACAAAGTAGCCATGTGATTTACTCCTACACTGAGTCAACCTCAATCAATTGTTAAGATACAAGCACATTTAAAAGTCTTTAACTTCCCAAGCCTTTATTTCACAGAGATTTAAAATATGGTCCAGGGCAAGCCCAGAAAAGAGGAAATTAGGAATCTTTTACTGTCTATTGTGTTTGGCACTCTAGTAATCTAAACATTCTCTATAACCTTCATTTTTATGGGGAATTAAAATACTACAAATGGGATGTGGGAAAAGTGAGTTTAAAATTTTTCATACATACAGGAAAAGCCTTACAATGAAAAATCCACTGTGCTGAGAGATTACTGCATACTTATCTACCTTGCTATATGGCTATTTTAAATTATTAGTTTTTCCTCTGATAGCTAAAACTGCTCAGTGAAAATTTAAATCATCTCTGGAGTAAAAGCCTAAAGTGACTACCACCTATTTCTTCTATGTTGCAGGTTCCCAAGAGAATCTCTAGAATCCAAGACATTTAAAAAAGTGGTAATATGGGTGGCTTTAGTTATCTACTTCCAAAAAGCCTAACAGAAAATCTTCCAGGGATAGGCCTTTCACACTTGTTATCAGCTGGAATAAGAAAAACTCTGTATTCCATCTGGGTAACATAGTGAGACCTCAACTCCAAAAAAAAAAAAAAAAAAAAAAATTGGCATGAAAAAACTTCAAAACATAGAGTCCACAGAGGAGAACAAGATAGGGATGCCTGCTGGGATCTGATCTAGAGAGAGTCTGACTACATCAAAATCACACTCACAGGCTCCCTCTGTATTTTTAAAAAACTGTCCTTTCCCTCACCTTCAACTCTTCTGTGTGGCAGGAACCTTGTTTTCGCCCTCCAGTTCTTCCACCCCAGCCTGTGTCATGAGGTCCGCAATGTTTTTCTCCAGATCATCGATGCGACTACTCATATCATCAAGTGGTGAGGTTAAGGGCGACACACACCAACATCCCCTCGTTTCGTATCTTTTTTCCTTGGGCCCCTGTAGACTATGGCCTTCGACACCACTGTCCTAAGGATAGGTCTTCCAGCGTCCTGTGAATACTATTAGCCTGGTGGGTAAGGAGAGTGCAGGAGTCCGGGGCAAGGCTACCCAGGACCAAATTCCAGCCCTAACACTTACTAGGAGTGGGGCCTTAAAACCCTCTATTTAAGAGGCCAGAAATGATGGCTCACGGAGGCTGAGGTGAGAGAATTGCCTGAGCCCACGAGTTCAAGACCAGCCCGGGCAACTTGGTGAGACCTAATTCTCTACAATAAACCAAAAAATTAGCCGGGTGTGGTGGGGCATGCTGGTAGTTCCAGCTACTTGGAAGGCTGAAGGGGATGGATCACATGGGCCCAGCTGGTCGAGACTGCGGTGGCCCTGAGTGTGCTACTGCATTCCACCCTGGGCGACAGAGTGAGACTCCGACACAAACAAACAAACCCTCCGTTTCTTCATTCACTAAATAAAATAATACACTAAAACCCAAGGTCATGGTGAGGATCAAGAGAGAGATATAGTCTACAGTCAGCCTCACTAGCCACATCACAGGGGGACCGCGCGTTCCTTGAGCTCAGTTGTCTCCCCAGCCCTCAGCACAATCCTTCTCGGGGAAACAGAGTATGCAGGTTCAGTATTCCGCAGGTGACCGGCTGAAGGCGGCCTGCAAACCACTCATGCACCCCATCCCCACCGCGGCCCGCACACAGGAACCAGGGGCCCGCAGAAGGCCGACGGCACATCCGAAGGATATTTCTTCCAATGATCTGGTCAGACATGGTCTGAAATTTATCTTGCATCTGTTGCAGGAGTGTATGCACCTAAGAAAAACCAAAACAAGTAAGTTCCACGCTGGGGTCAGGAGGGGGTCCCGGCCGCGGCTGAGGAGATGAGGACCCCGGGCTCCGGTCTCATCCCCGAGGGGATGCTGGTGAGCGGCCTACAGGCAGGCCCGTCCTTTCTGGGAACTCAGTTTCCCCCTCTGTCCAACTGGACTGAAGGGCCGGGAGGTCCCTTCCAGTTTGGGGCCGCTGTAACTCGAACTTCGGGGGTTTGGGGTCGTTTTTGACGGCCGAGGGCGGGAGGAGTGCCTGGCATAGGAGGGCGAGGACTGGAGGCTGGCGGGCCTGGGGGTCGCCAGGGAGCGGTCACCAGCAGGCGAAGGGGGCTGCACTCGGGGGCGTCGGCGCGGAAAGGGGCCCACACCTAGCGGCCAGGGGGTCAAGGCGACAGGGAAAGCTTCCAGAACCGAGGCCTCCAGCGACGCCGCGCCTCTCGGTCCGGCAGGGCCTGGCCGGCGCCGTCCGCGGACGCCGCGGCCTCGGGCCCGCACAGTCATCCCTTACCACCGAGGTGAGATCCTGCACGTTCTTAGGGTCGGTCTCGGCCATCTCCCCGGTTCCCAGCTTGGCGGCGATGGCTCGGACAGTCACCTACACTTCCGTTTGTCCGCGCAGACGCGCCCAGATGCTACTTCTCGCGATGCGACGGGTCACTCGCGGGAACGCGGGGCGTTCTGGGCGCTGTAGTTCAAGTCACGCACCGGAAGGGCCTCCCGCTCTCGCGCTTCCGTTCCGGGGAGCGGCCCTAGCTAGCACTCCCCACCCCCTTCCGCTTAGCCCCGCCCCGCCCCGCCCCGCCCGCGGTTTACCGCGGAGAAACGTGAGACAAACGGAAATGGGCGGAGGAGTCCGCGGCCGGCCTTGGCCTGTCCCCTGGGCCGTAGTGGATTGAAAGATGGTTCTGGTTTTCTTTGGCCCATTGGGACGAACTTATTGGGGTTCTGCCCTCCAGCAACTCCCAACCTTTGTCACCAGCCCCCAGGTCCAGAAACACAGCCCACCCCCTCGGAAGCCCCTTAGCCCTCTACCCAGCAGCATGTCCCTACCTGCAACACGCTGGATTCGTTTTGCCTGTCAATTTCCTATAAGGAAGATGTGTAATGTCAGGCTTCTTTCACTCGACATGACCTTCCCTGGTGTTGAGTGGGGAAGGTTTCCAGTCTGGCAAAGGAGGCAGCAGAGTCAGAGAGTTAGACTGTGGACTGGGGTGTTTAAGGATGGGGGCCCTGTTGAGTTGGGACCTTAAGTTCCAGCCCCGCAGGTGGTCTTGGGACTGGGTCTCATGGCAAAGGGATTGAGAGAGGTTGATGGAAGACCTGGCATCTTCCAATCATTTTCACATGCCTTATCTCACTTCAGGTGGCACCATGTGGTGGTCAGCTTCAGTCTGAGTTTAGCTGGAGGGAGGCTAAAAAACCCACCAGCATCAGTAACAAACCCGAAATGGGGCGGGCTTTGGAGGCATGAGACTCAACTCCCTTCACCAGCCACCCTCCCCCTTCCTCCACACCCCTGTCCCTTACCTCTCATCCCTCCACACAGAGAGCTCTTCCTTCTGGTGCCAAAGGTGCAGAATGTTTCATAATTGGCGGCTGTGAGCTGCCTTTTGCTTAGTGCTCTGCAAGACTACTTGAAATAAACACATCTCAGTGTTTTAACTTAATCCTCAGAAGACCCCTGTAATATAATTATCACCATTTTACAATTTTTGAGGAAACAGACACAGAGGGGCTTAAAAACTGGAAGAAGGCCATCAAATTGGGGAAGTTAGAGATGCAGGACTTTCTGACCCTTAATCTTCTCCTTTTTCTCTAATTCTAGAATTCTCTGAGCTCAAAAGCAGAGTTTCTCAATGGCAGCATGACGGGCGTTTGAGTCAGGTGATTCTTTGTTGTAGGGGGAGAAGAGGTTGCCCTGGACATTGTATGATGTTGAGCACCATCTCTGACCTCTACCCCAGTGGCATCCCCCTCCCCTGTCACTTCCCCAGTAATAGCAGCCAAAACTATCTTCCAGGCATTGCCAAATGTCTCCCGGGGGGTGGGGCTGTAAAATCACCCCCAGTTGAAAACCACTTTGAAGACTCTGTGGACTGCCTAAAATTCCTTGTCCTTGTTCTTCAGGGCATGTTCTTATTTTTGTTACAGTCATTTTTTTGAGAATGTTCTCCTGTATATGTTGAAATTGGACATTGGTGTCTTTGTGTCTTGTGGCTGCCATAACAAAGAACTCCAAACCAGGTGACTCAAGACAACCGAAATTTATTCTCTCATCAGTTCTGGAGGCTAAAAATTCCGAATCAAAGGTGTCGGCTGGGTTGGTTCCTTCTAAGGAAGTTCCTGCTCTGTGACTCTCTACTAGCTTCTGGGGACAGCCAGAAGTCCTTGGCATTTTTAGTTTGTAGATGCAGCACTCTGATCTCTGCTTCTCTCTTCATGTGGCCGCCTCTCCCTGTATGTGTCTCTGTCTGCTCTTCTTCTTCTTCTTTTTTTTGAGTTGCAATCTCACTGTGTCATCCAGGCTGGAGTGCAGTGGCATGCTCATGGCCACTGCAGCCTCCACCTGCTGGG